GTGACTGGGGGTGTCCGGCCTGTGGGCGCTGCTGGAGCGCTCCGGTTGAGGGGAAAATGGGGTGCAAATGGGGAAATTTGGGGTAAAATGGGGAAATTTGGGGTAAAAGGGGAAAAATTTGTGGTAAAAAGGAGGAAATATGGGGGAAAAGGGGAGAAAATTGGGTAAAAAGCGGGGAAAAGGGATCAAAAGTGACCTGGGAGTGTTTGGTCTGAGGGCGCTGCTGGACTGCTCTGAGTGAGGGGAAAATGGGGTAAAAATGGGGAAATTTGGGTAAAAAGAAGGTAAACTTGGGATAAAAGCGCGAAATTTGTGTAAAACTGGGGAAATTTGGGGTAAATTTGGGGTAAAAAGGGGAGATATTTGGGATAAAAGGGCCCTGAGCACGGTCCGGTCCCCAGAGGAGCTCGGAGCGCTGCTCTGTAACCTCAGCTGCTGCTGGAGCGCTCCGGGTGAGGGGAAATTGGGATAAAATGGGGAAATTTGGGGATAAAATGGAGAAATTTGGGGTAAAAATGGGGAAATTTGAGGAAAATTTGGGATAAAAGGGCGTTGAGCGCGGCGCGAGCCCCGGAGGAGCTCGGAGCGCTGCTCTGTAACCTCAGCCAGGCCAGAGAGGGACGGCGGCTGCTGCTGGAGCGCTCTGGGTGAGGGAAAATTGGGATAAAATGGGGTAAAAATGGGAAAATTGGGATAAAAATGAGGAAATTTTGGGAGAAATTTGGGGTAAAAGGGCCCTGAGCGCGGCGCGGCCGCCGGAGGAGCTCGGAGCGCTGCTCTGGAAGCTCAGCTGCTGCTGGAGCGCTCCGGGTGAGGGGAAAATGGGGTAAAAATGGGGAAATTTCGGGAAAAATGGGGAAATTTGAGGTAAATTTGGGTAAAAAGGGAAAATTTGGGGATAAAATGGGGAAAATTTGGGATAAAAGGGTCCTGAGCGCGGTCCCCGGTGGAGCTCGGAGCGCTGCTCTGTAACCTCAGCCAGGCGGGAGAGGGACGGCGGCTGCTGCTGGAGCGCTCCGGGTGAGGGGAAATCGGGGTAAAAATGGAAAAATTTGCGGTAAAAATGGAGAAATTTGGGATAAATGGGGAAATTTGGGGTAATTTGAGTTAAAAGGGCCCTGAGTCCGGTCCCCGGTGGAGCTCGGAGCGCTGCTCTGTAACCTCAGCCAGGCCAGAGAGGGACGGCGGCTGCTGCTGGAGCGCTCCGGGTGAGGGGAAAATGGGGTAAAAATGGGGAAATTTGGGGAAATTTGGGAAAAAAACGGGGAAAAAGGGATCAAAAGTGACCGGGAGTGTTTGGTCTGAGGGCGCTGCTGGAGCGCTCCGGGTGAGAGGAAAATGGGGTGAAAATGGGGAAATTTGGGGAAAATTCGGGGTAAAAATGGAGAAATTTGGGAAAAAAGCGGGGAAAAAGGGATCAAAAGTGACCGGGAGTGTTTGGTCTG